CACAAGTGACCCCCGTGATCCATAAAAGGAAGAAGCAGGTAAAAATAATGGATGGATGGACACACAGTAAGTAAACAGATCAATAAAATGTACCACTTTAAAAAAAGGTGATTTTGCATTTGATGGCAATACATCAAAAAAGTTAAGGACGAGGCAACAAAGGCACTAAAAGTAAGTTATATGAATAAGAAATGTGTCAGTAAGAAGAATATCCCATCATAGTTCACAAGTTCATCAAAAGATTTCTAGAATCTCAAGTACACAAAGGACCAGGTGAAAGTCAATCATGAATGACTGGGATATCTGGCCCATCTGGCAGCATTTGTAAGGATTGGTGTACAGATTGTTTGATGGTTCTTTGTTTGAGATCGGTTTTTCAGTCTCTTTTTGATCATTAAGATGTTTTCTGCATTTTATTTTAGTATTTAGTGCTGTTTTTTGTACCTGATCAGTCTGTGATTTCCCCTGTTCAGTTTTCTGCTCCTACTCTCTCCTGCTTGTCTTTCCCCAGGTGTGTGTCATTCTCCTTTTTTAATCTTGTCTTTACATTCTCTGTGTCTCACTCTGTTCCTCAGTTTGGCAATAACTGTCCTCAGTCTCTGTGATCCAGTCAGGTTTGTTGAGGTTGTTTATGTTCCTGTTTTTCTAGTACGCTGCTATGTCTGTCTTTTGACTTTTTTTTCTAGTTTAATAATAAAATCTAATTTTCATTTTAACTCCTCACTTCCGTCTGCATTCTGGGTCCATCCGCCGAACAAATCACTCCAACCTTGATAGTGCTGCATTAAAACAGGTCCGATTCTGTTCTGGATGTAACTGAGTGGACTCAGGGACACTCCCTCAAATCATTTTCTTTAAACACAGTTTACAGTGTCATCCATAAATGCAGATTAAAGCTCTATCGTGCAAAAAAGAAGCCACATATGAACACCAACAAGAAACTTTGCCATCTTCTCGGAGCCAAAGATCATTTAACATAAATTGATGCAAAGTGGAAAACTGTTTGATTGTCAAACTATTTTTAGGGTTTTTTTTTTGTTTTTGTTTTTTTGTGCATGACTGATACCATGCCATCCATACTAAAGAGGAAATTGATGATTCAGCATTTTATCTGCACACTGTTCAAACACCTGCCTCTCTGATGGTATGGGGGTGCATTAGTTTCTTTGAGCAGCTTACATGTGTGGAAAAGCACCATCAATTTCAGAACAGTATATGAACATGCCCGGGTCCCCTTTGCAAATGATAGTGCAATTTAAATGGGGTATTTAACCAAGTTAAATAACGGGAATGACATGAAGCCCAAGAAGACCCAGGACTGTTCTACAGCTAGAATCCTACATCAGACAAGGATGGGACAAAACTCCAGCAGCTGCTCTCTACAGTCCATAAATGTTAGCAGACTGTTGTTAAAAGAAGAGGATCTGCTTCAGTGGGAAATATGGTCTTGTCTCCACGTTTTTAATATGCATCGCTGTTAAAATTATTCTGTTTCAAAGAAGTGGTCAAATTTCTTAGGTTTAATATTTGTAGCATTTATTAGATTTTTATTTTGATAAGATTTGCAAATCATTCCATTCTGTTTATTACAATTCACACAGCGTCCCAACATTTTTGGACTTGGGGTTGTAGTTTCTTCTTTTATCAGACGTTTAGCTACATGAGAAGATTTACTTAGAAAACCTTAATTTTCTTTGGAGGGGCATCAGTTTGCTCACATTTAGCAGAATTCTGGAAGCTTTTTGTTGTTTCCTTGACTTCATGGAGTCCAACTCAAACAACTCCCTCAATACTCAGCTGTCATTGTTATTTGTTTAAAGGCAAGCACAACAGGAAGCAGGTTGCAAAGCTGCCAAACACAAGCTGAGCTTTTGACTCCAACTATAAAGGAACGGTTTTCCACCGGAGGGCAGTCAGATGGCCCACAGTGACGACTCCAAAGAGTCACTGTTACACCGGGCTGCTCAGCATGCAACACAGATCAGCTCTACAAGGACACAGGCTGCAAAACTGGAGAAGAACTAAGCCTTCCTGACATAATTTGTCTGTAATACTTAAATGCAACACTAAAGTTTATTAAAATAACTTTTAAGATATTTGTTCAGACCAGTTTGTTTGTAGGAAGCATTGCCGTTTGTCCATATGTAATCATCACAGAAACCTATGGGATTTTGTTATGGGCCATCATAAACATACTGATCACACTGTCATGAAGACTGTAAAAAACATAAAGAAACCAAATAAGTACAATATATTTTTCATATCAATGGTTGTTGTGTCTTTAAACCAAATGTGTAAGCAAAAATTGTGAATGGCTGCCACCTACCCCACGTGTTTGCTTAACAAAAACAGCTGAGGTGAACAAAAATAGGTCAACAATAGCATCCATGGAAGAGCTGTTTGTCTAGAAGTCTGATGCTTTCAATGTATTAGTATGTATTTACTCTCATATTTGTTGAGTAAAGTATGCAGATAAAAGTGCTTTGTTGATGCTGAATGTGGACCTGCATTTCAGAATTACATACCCATTTATATGAAAAACTACTGGACCTGTTGCACCAAACTGCACCATTTGATATAGTTCAGTAGAACAATTTAATTTCACAACTCGTAATGAGTATGTTTAATACATTATCGAGTTATAATTACACTTTCATCACTGACAACATAAATGATAGATTTTCAAAAATTTGCCAGGGACAAACAATTTATTTACTGGTGAGCAAAAATAATTTTCTGCGTGAAAGTAATCCATGTATTGTCAGTAACAACCCCATTTTATGAGTGGCGTTATTATTTTATGGTGCTATGATCCAAAACTTTACAGGGTTAATTCCATAGAAACACAACAAAAATGAAAAAAAAAAGTGATAAGTTGTTCATATTAAATGTGGTCATAAAACAGCTTTCTTCCACGTGAGATGCTACATGAAGCAAAGAGGCCAACACTAAGATCTGCTTATTTTTCCCCCGACACCAGATGATCATGTTATTGTTGAACATCTTGTAGTTTGATCCTAAACATTTGTAGCAGTGTATTTAAATACATATTTCTAATTTTGAATTACAGCATCTTTTTCACAATATTTTCAAGCAAAACTTTTGAGCGATTGGTGTGGTCTTTGTAAAGTTTAATTTTATCAACTTGATTATTGTTTTTTTCCCCCCTCGTTTGCATCTTAAACCCCTTATTATTTAGATTCAATAAAGTGTAACAGTTTTACTAATGTATACTCTTTTCAGGTTTAGTTTGTGGCTTTCCTGTAACTCCACCTTTGTGTGCATATAATACCTCCATCCTTCGCATACCTGCGTTCTCCTTGCCTGTTCTGCTTCTCCCTCCTCGGTTCTCCCCTGTTGTTGCTGCTACTCTTGGAGGCTTTAACTCCATCTGGTTGAGGAGGTGCCACAGGCCTCAGGGCTGAAATGACATGACCTGGCTGCTGAAGCTGAACACCAGCTCCTCTGGTGGGGTATTGAGTGTACACAGGCAGACAGGGTCTGCTCTGTTCCTGTACCCCTTTCCCACATGTGCGCGAGCAGGACGACCAGGCTCCCCAGGCACCCCAGGAGCCCTGCATTTCTCCATACTCAGCTCTGAACTCCTGCTGAGGCTCTGCCCTCTGAGGAACCTGCACAGACAAAACAGCTTGGATTAGAAAGTGTGAAGAAGTGGGATGGTGTCATTAAATGGGGATGCCAAAGATCTGATGGAACGCTTCCATCAGTAAGTGTTTAATCTCTGCAGATCAGTCTCTTGGAGAAAAGCTCGAGTCAGTGACTTCATTTCATCACCATGACTATCCTGCTCCTCCTCCCCTCTGTCTCTATTCATGAAACAGACCTCTGTTCACTGTAATAAAGCCCTGATTTGGCTGATTAGCCAGTGTCTGTACGTGGCCTGTCCCTCATTGGCTACCTGCTTTTCCTCACTGTTGACTCCGTTCCCCTGTGTAACCATGCCAGGGACGCATTAGCAGCGATCACTGTGCTCTGTTTGAGGAACCAGCCAGCAGGAGCTCTATGCCAAACTGGCTTTCTGAGTGGAGCTGTGTGGAAACGCTGCTCTTTAAGGAGCAGTTTGTCTCCATCCACAGCAGCCTCTCTGGGCAAACACATGGCCGCAATAAAAACTCAGCTGCTGAATACAGAAGCTGCAGGGAGGGTTGGCAGGGAGCTCCTCGGGTGTCAATCAGCAGCCATTCAGTGGGACCACAGACACACCCCCCTCCACCACATTGGCTTCTATCGCCTCAGCTCCATGCTACTATCTCCGGGTCAGCGGCAGGTCACACAGCTGGACTCTGAGTGGAAACATATGAAGACAACTCGCATCGTTCCTCCTCTAAACTGACAGGACCATCGATCTGTCACTCAGCTTCAACCACAAGCTTCTTCCATGTGGTTCTAGTTTCTGCAGGGTTCAAGAGGGGAGACTGCTGACAGCTGACTTCCACCCTCTTCTGTTTTGCTGAAGCAAACAGAAGAGGTCAAAGATGACCAACCCTGTCAGTGTCTCCTGGGAGTACTATCTGCGGCTGAGACTTTCACTGACAAGAAACCAATTATTATGTTATCATTATAATCAGGTAGCCTGTGTGGGTTCATTTGTCTGTTAGCAAAATACCTCTTGAACCTGAATTTTAATGAGTCTTTCAGAAAGAAAATCAGTGGGTCTGCATTTAAAACTGGATAACCTTTGTAAACAGCCTGATTCAAGATGAC